AGCTCAGCACCACGTTACACCTTCCAGCTTCTGCAGCATCCAGATCAGCATGAAGGCTGTAATTGTGCCCTGTAATTACAGCAATTACCGCTGCTGTTGTACTGCGTGTGGGTTTATTAATAGCCACAATGGAAAATAACGTGCTTTGCGTTGTTTATCTGTTGACAGATAGCTGTTGCTAATCCATGTTTATTTGCCGGGGATCAATGCAAATCCATCGGGTAGAGAAATCCCTGGAGCTTGCGGATCCTAATGCATTTCCCTGCCATTAACCAGCCATAATCCGCCACTAATCATCGCTAATCCACATCTTCTGTGTTTGATGGTGCTCTCCTATGAAGGAAGTATTACAATGTGTGTGTGTGTGTGTGTGTGTGTGTCCCCGCCCGAACCTGCTGCATCCGGAAGAGAGAAATAGATGGGCCACAGGTGGGGCAGGGGTGGTCGACATGTGCCCATGTGACAGGAAGTACTCCAGCCACCTTATTGCAGTTTTTGTTAACGTCTATTGGTGGTGTCGTCGTTACGTCACCCTGTCCCCTCGCCCTCTGACTTCAGAGTCTGAAGGGCTTTTTTCAGCAAAGCTTAAACGGAAGTGTGACCTGAACTCGTGGTGGATAAGACCACTGTAGTGGGTTTGTAAATCAAGTAAAAGTGGTTTGTCACATGGACCCAGGGTTCCGCCTGTATAACTCTTTTGGTGACCCTGATATGGGACAGAAGGAAGGGTTAGTTTGCTTACATACACCAATGAGAGTGAAGGGTTTGCTTACATACACCAATGAGAGTGAAGGGTTTGCTTACATACACCAATGAGAGTGAAGGAGGGGACATCAACCTCACTTTGAACTAACACTCTGAGACCATCCCTGTATCACGGTGCCCACCCTATGCAGCCAATCTTCTTAGTCTGACCTAATCCTACTGAGATCTAATATTGCCTGTTGCAATGCAGTTGGCATTTCTGTTCTTTTTGTAAGGAAATGGAATCGTACCTTAGGTACTCGACAGGAAGCCATGTTGTAGTGGGCTGGAATGTAAATATACATTTATTTTTTCCTCCATCGATTTTCTGTACCCACTTATCCCATTGAGGGTGGCGGGGCTCCAGAGCTTCTTGGAAGCTTCAGGCACAGAACAACCCAGTATGGGGCGCCAACCCATCGCAGGGCACACTCACACATGCACAGCTATGGGCAGTTTAGTAACTCCAATTAACCTCAGCATGTTTTTGGACTGTGGGAGGAAACCGGAGTAGCCAGAGGAAACCCGGCGACGACACGGGGAGAACGTGCAAGATCTGCACTTGTAGAACCAGGGGAAGGGAGGTAAACCCTGTTTACCAGAGGTACGAAACGACTGTGCAAACGACTGTGCTAACCACTGTGCCATCGTGCCGCCCCAATAAACAGCGTAATCACACTCAATTCCCAGGGATACCAGAGAGGGATACAGAGCAGATGCTCAGCTCATGATTTTCGTGGTCCGGAGAGTTAACAATGCCGTTTGATAGAGGAGAACAAGGATCATCAGGCATTGCGGCCACAATCATTTAGCTGCTTTCTCGAGCTCACCTGGGGTCTGACTCACAGCGACTCCGCTCAGCTGCCGCTTCACCTGCCCCAGACGAAGGGACCGACGTTTCATCCGAATGCCTAAGGCCTTCGACAGACCGCCGTGGAGGCAGGTAACTATGGCGACTGAGCCCAGTGCAGATTAGTCTTCCTCCTGCTGCAGCCTTAACGTGATTAATCAAAATGATAAGAGCAAGCGATGCCATTGTTCACGTCAAAGGCATAACTAAAAACCAGCCTGCTGCCATCTGATTTTTATGGGACAAAAGTGACCAAACACATTTCCTTGCAGCAAATAACAGCGTTCATACAAGCAACACAAGTAAATTTGATTTGCAATGCAGTGTCAAAGTAACGATCATTTATATAGCGTAGATGTCATCATTTTAAAATTGTTGATGGATTTCCTACTGGACTTAAAGGCCTAGGGGTCCTTCCCTTCGTAAATTTCTGTAACCCAGTAAAATCACTTGCTGTAAGTAAGATTTGCCTGATGGTCTGGCGACAAAAAGTAGTTTTTCAAGCGCTGTTACGTGTTACAGGTTAGGGTTAGGTGTGTTCAGTAAAGAAAAACAGAGCGAGGCCTAAGCGATCGGGTTTGTAGCATCTGTCGGTCGGTCTAAGACGCGCTTGTTTGGACGCGCCTGATTAATGGCTGTCATTAACGGCGCGTGTGGAAATGAGAAACACCGCAGTGTCGCGATGTTCATCAGGGGACTCCAGCTTTCGTTTTACGAATCTCTGCAAGTTTGCTGTATTGTTTTATGGCATTAAAATATGTTGCGCATACTACCAATTTCATTTTCTGCTCGCCCATTTAGGTGTCTGTCCGAGAGGTGCGGAGAGATTGGCTAATATACGGGTTAAAAAGCAGCAGTCGTGTAATACACAACACAGGCTGGCATTTCGCGCGCAGTCACACAGACCCACATATTTATTTCCGCCGTTTGTTAATGCGGTGTCACTCCGCAACCTGACTTGTAGGCAGTCGCCTGTAGGAAACTCAGTAAATATTCACATGCCTCATGCCTTACGAACGGAAAAACGGCACGGGAGGACTACAGCTTTGTTATCTAGCTGATATCGTTTCACTAACTTATTAAACTAGTTGACACAGTTGAAGCAGCAATGAATGGTTCTTAATTTTCACGCTAGAGGGCGCCTGTGTCAATCTAAACAGCCTGCGTTCCTATTCACGCACTCTGTGATATCACCAATTTAGCCCTTTGGATTTCTTTCAGTCGTACAAAAGTGTTCCTATCCCAGTTTAAAGGGGTGACTATGAATTATCCCATAATAGAAATAATAGAAAATGTGGGATAATCGCACAAACCGGCAGAAGTCCCCAGAACGTTACGGAAAACATGCGCTTCTGAAAATTGACTTTTGAAGCAATTAATTTTGTAAAGACTCTTCTCCTAGTTGCCATAAATTAAAACATCAGAAAAAACTATTATTTACTAACCGCAGACTAACGCAAACTATCGAATTATTTGTAGGTCTATGTTACATGTCAAATGGATCAAACACGGAAATAATCTTGAGTGTGTAAAAATAAATCCCCAACAATATTAAATCATTTACATTTTTGAGTTGCATACACAATATGCATTCGTTTTGTTTATTGAAACTGGAAAATCGTTACAGGGTCACAAAAAGCAAAAAAATAATTATACAGAAGACCGCAAAAATTTTAATTTAAGTTTAATTAATCATGACATTGCAGTACTACTACATACGTAAGAATACTGTAGTCAACAACACAGTAATTTACTGAAAACAATAAAAGCAAACTGAAGAAGCAATCGGCACATACAGCGTCAAAAATGAAGGAGCTGAGAATTATGCTTATGAATCACACCGAAAACCAACCGCAGACCACACGGTTGGGGTCCAGTCTTTCTGATTCCCCCTTTCCTTCCCGGCGGGCCTGTACTGTGGGTCAGATTTACCAGAGATTCAAACTGCTTTGAAACTACGAGAAAGTCTCCCGTCTTGTTCTAGGGCTACCTCCAGAAATGTATGAGCCGTATTGTAAAATGACATATATAGTGTAGAATCACACAGCAGAAGACTCTTAATTTTAATTATTCTTCTAATCTCCATAACGTTTATCGTGCTGTTAGAACAGACTAAATTATCATAGTGTTGTTAATGTATTTATGCCTAAGTCGACAAGTGGGAAGCCTGTACAAATAAAGGAAACGTGGCATTCTGATTGATTAAACAAACCCGTTTAAATCCTTCTTAACCGATAAAGCGAGATAAAACAAATTCACCTCTTTAACATCTGGAAAGACGTACGACTCGTTCCTTTTGATTTTACTTAATAGTTGTGCGGCGCTTATATTTGAATACATTTGTATTTTAAAAGGATTGAATTTTTAATTTCACACAATTTGCAGAGTTTTGGGGTAACATGAGGGCACCCCAGTATCTTGTTATAATAACCAGGTCCCGATAATCGTAATAAGTAACTTATCGCAATAGACGAATAAAACGTATTTTCCAGCAGACCTCAGATTTTTATGATCAGTTCTTCATCTTTGCTGTCAGGTCGTAATTTAACTGAGCCATAAAGCCATCCATCCATCCATTGTCCAAACCGCTTATCCTTCTGGGTCGCGGGTGATCCATAAAGCCGTGTTAGGAAATCATTAAGCTCCGGAAGAGCGCGCACCTGTGTTCAGGTGATACAGAAAGAAGGAAGAACACATGCTATACCGAGTACAGTATACACTGTATGTTCCCTATGCTGTTTACGGAATTTTTTCCCGCTGTTTTGCGGCGATGGATGGATGGATGAATTAAATTAACCAAAATTCACACATTTTTCTTTGACCGATTGTATGACATTAGTGCGCTGCTACACTTACAGGGAAATTTATACTTTGCGTGCTTCTTATATACCTCAACACTCTTGTAAAGAATAAAGTAAATAACGACACAAAATATATTGGCTGCAGTGGATTGTTTATATAATTAATGCAAGGCTGCATTAACACTCGTTTCCAGTATGTATTATAATAATTGTACCTACAAAAGCAGTCCGGTAAATGACAACAGTGTAAACATTTTCATATTAATATTGCACAATTTAATACTGCGATTACACAAGAATGTGGAACAGCCTTTGGCGGCCGTGTGAATTTGATACGGAATGTCTGAGGTAAGATTTCGGTTCCCTTTAAAACAGTACATCAACACAGATTTCGATTAAAGCGAATTCTCACATGACGGATTGCCAGTTTAAATTTAACACATTTGGTCTGACAACAGTTGAAGGGGTAGAATAGAGATTTTATGCACAACACATTGGTCAAATTTCGAGTTTCTAGCAATTGTTTGACATACACATTTGGCGGTGTCACAATAGATAGCGACACACGTTTTGGGTGAATTAGTACTTAAGAAAGACAGAACACCTTTTCGTGTATATGCGTTTTATGTAAGTAATAAAATATTACTAAAACATAAATATCAATGTGACTTTGCAGTCTACATTTTGCAATCAACATACAACCAATGTAGTAAACAAAACATTTTGTAATTCACTGCAACATAATTATTAAAGAGCTAAACAAAAGCTCCAAAACACATTTAGGAAATAAATATATATGTATATATTTATAAACGGCAAATTCATAAATGAAATCATATTAAAATATCTTTTCGGAATTAGTAAGTGTACAAAACTGCCCAGAAAGAAAAAGAAAAATCAAAACAAATTCATAAGTTTACATATTCGACATATTTACATATTGGAAATAATCCTGGCAACAGTATCTTAAAATGCGTTTCATAAAAAGTAGTAGTATCGCGTTGTATCGGGTAACGCTGCGGAATGAATCTGCCGTGGGTCTGTCTGTTCAAATCTGCCCAACATTTAGCGGTAAAACACACTACAGACAAATATGTCTGTTTCGAACGCAAAAATGATAAACATATCTGAAAAACCTGCCTTCATTACCTTGCTATGAGCATTTTCCGATGTTATCTGCATGTGCTGAATATGATATAGTTTTATTTAAACCAAGGGGATAGCCTTTTTACTTATAGTAATATGATAAGTCGATCATTTTTTACATAATACAGCGAAAGGTCGAGCTGGGGTGAATGTTACCTGAGACTTAACATTCTTTCTGTTGTGTTTCACTAATCACTTTTACAATATTCTATTGTAATTGTATGATGGTCAGCGATTTACTTGACAGCGTCAACTACTCTTTGAAACTGTAAACACGAACATTTTTGCACAACTGAGAAGAAATTCGTTCACGATAAAGAATAACTAATTAACGTATAACAGCAACAACACCGTGACGTTAAAAAATAAGTGCTACACGCAAAATAAAGGGAAAAAATAGACAAAAGTTGAACAATCCGTATGTTGTTCTGTGTGATGTGTGCTTCTATATGCAGGTTTGGCCACTGCCGTCACTAAGCCTGATTTCTGTCGCTTTGCCAGCAGGCGATATCCGTACAGAAATGCCTTCGACGAAAGTGTCACTGTTTTGCCAGTGTTGTCACGCTTTCCCTCAAAAATATGACCCCCATCCCGCTCACGATTCTCCCCCATTGTCGACTCGGGGAGTAAAGGTTGTTTTATGCTGTGTTATATAGCATTATAATTAATAGAAATAAACAAAAATGACATAATTTTAGTTCTGCAGTACAGTAGAGACACTGATGCTAGGATACTCGAAAAGCAATACATCACAAGTTATACGTAAACGAAATCAATAACAATAATAATTAATAATAATAATAGATCCGGTTAACCAGGAAAAAAAAAACAGGAAAAACGTGACGCTATTTAGTGAAAAGGCCGAGTTTTATGGAGATTTCTTTCGGAAATAGCTCGTGAAGTGCGCTTCAGCAGTTAAAGCACAAACGGCCTGCGATCTCTCTTTCAATAGCACGAAGGTTCATTTGCCTATATGTTATTTTTCTTACTCATCCTCCTCGACATTTTGGTACATAAAATCTTTGATTTATTTAAATGCACGTGGATTTTTTTTTCATAGAAATAAACCTATTAAAACGAACAAAAAATTCCAGCACGCCTACATGTTTTGTACCATAATCTTCGGTTACCGGCGACCAATCACTTGCCATATGTCTTTCTTTTTTTCTTTTTTTTTAAGAAAACGAAAGCAAAATAAAATACTGTAAATTCCACAGTCCCTTTTGTAATTATTTTTCTCTTTTAAATAATAGACTAGTTCATTAAAGTAGTCACTGGACAGGACTCTGTAGCGTATGGTGTAGCGGGGGGGTGTCTGCCTGTGAGTATACATCCTCCATACTCGGGTGAGGTACCCCGACCGGGGTCATCCGTTTCTCTTTCTGTCTTCTGTTGCAAAACCAAACGCGGACAACTTCTTTTTCCAGCTGAAGAGTTCCCGCTAAGCTGGTGATCTCGTGGGCGGAGGGTTTAGGGCATTTTAAGAAATGGTTCTCCAGCGCTCCTTTCACTCCGACCTCAATCGAGGTCCTCTTCTTTCGTTTCCTGCCCTGAGCGGCGATCTTGTCCAAATTGGTCGGACTGCCGGTGTTGGAGTCTGTCTCCTCCAGCCACTTGTTAAGTAGCGGCTTAAGTTTGCACATGTTCTTGAAACTCAGCTGCAGCGCCTCGAACCTGCAGATGGTCGTTTGGGAGAAGACGTTACCGTAGAGGGTTCCCAGCGCCAAGCCCACGTCCGCCTGCGTGAAGCCCAGTTTGATCCGCCGCTGCTTGAACTGTTTAGCAAACTGCTCCAGGTCATCGGAGCTGGGAGCATCTTCGTCCGAGTGGTCCTGGTGGTGTCCAAAAGGCTGCTGTGGGGACTCCATCTGGTTGTCGTGACTGCTTGCGTCTTCGTGGAGTGGGTCTCTCATTCCGTGGTGCAGGGATGAGGGCTGCGGGCTCAGCATGGCGTTTAGATTCGTGTAGCCCGGCTGGGAGTAGACAAGAGACTGGTGGCCGTTGGAGGCAGGAGACAGTGGGGACAAGTGGTGAGTCGTGGTCGGCGCCCATGACCCGTGGTGGCTGTTCTGCGTCTGTTGGTGTACCAGGTGCGACCTGTGGTGAAAGCCGCCGTTCAGGTCCTCTCGACTAGCTTGAACGCTTGATTTATTGTGCTCAGGCTGCCCGATGTGGGTTCCGCTGGTCCAGTCGGTGCTGGAGGTGGGTAGCCACTGGTGGTGCGTCAGACTCATCGGATGCCCAGTGTTCGTCGCCGCAAGTCCTTGCAAATACTCGTGGTGCATCATTTTCTGCACCTCTCTGTAAGTTGTCCCCTGATGCATCCTATCCGAGTCCGGATGCATGAGTGGATTGGAAGGTAAAGAGTTATTCCGGGGAATATACTGAGCTGTTGTAGCCATGACTTCTACTTCGAACACTGACGGCACTTCGGAGATCTCTGGGCTTTAGAGCCAAAAATGCAACAATCTTCTCAGGGAGGTCTCGAAAACGACAAGACACTCCTCCCCTTCGCTTGCATTGGCTCCCTACTAACTCATGTGCCGCGATATTCCGCTTTCCCCCTTGCGGGCCGCTTGGTTGGCTGACGGCACGCCGGTCCCGGCTCCTCGCAATTGGCCGTCCCCGTGTTTGTTTTCCCCGTTTCCACCCCCCAACTAGGTAAGGCAGAAGGGGCCGGGAAACAGTAAGGAATAATTGGGTTTCTCCGGGTTTATCCGAGTTGTTTTGAAAATAACCACGTGGGGGAGTACAGAGATCTTTTTGCAGCGCTGTAAGAAATATACGTCTCCCCACCACAGCCCGTTTAGTCATTGCAGCTTAAACGTGGCTCCCTAATAAACTAGATTAGCATTCTTGTTCCATTTCCGAAGAATACACCCTCCTTCACAAAAGAAACGGGCGTAAACAAATACGATGTGGCATTAATGTAAGGTTGTCAGTTGCGTGGGTTTTGTCAGCAAGAAAATGACGTTATAATCAGCGCACCCGCTAAATATTAAGGAATTTATCATGGTGCGCGGAATTAGTCCTCTGATCATTCTGTAATATTTGCAGCTCATGCGAAAGGGATGTTATTTTAATCGGCTCTGCCCATTACAGTTTTTATGATGACGCAGCTGAGCGACTTGTTAAACATTTCGCTCAAAGCGCATTTTATGTGCTGCTGTCTGTCGTGTGTTGTGCAGTGTCGTCGCCTGGACGTACAATGTCAGATGCATAGGCTGATTGAAGCTTTGTTGGCTAACCTAGGCGATCAGTGTATGATGAAAGTAAGCGAATATCAGGCTAACTTAACCGCGGTACTAGTGCAACTTTTTTTGCGATCCGAAGAATCTGCGCTTCGCAGTTTAATGTATGCCATCTGTTCATTACATCGGTATCGCAACATTTATGCAACATAGTTAATGGTTAATTATGACGTGATGACGAGCCGTGGCATTTTAACCAAGTAACCCATTGGTTCATTAGTTTTAATAATCGTTATTTAAATAATTTAAGTAAAACTCGGTATGATATACCCCATGAAATCAAAGTCATTATGACAGTGTACAATGTAAGGTAGACAGCACCTACTGGCAGGATCACAGCAAACAAAATTAAATCTGATTATCTAAAAGTGCAGTCCACTTCTTCACCTTTCCCATGCATGCAAGTAAAATACGTTTGCGTTGTAATGTCAGAAATTTGGTAGATATATTTGGGTTCACCGCTATCCGAGGAGGACTAGAGTGTATATGAACGCGGGCGTGCATGTGGAATTTAAACACAATTTACATCCAACGCTGAGCAGTATAGTCGCTGATCGTGATAAAAAAGACGTCTTATCACTAACGCTACACAAACCCCATCCGAACTGTAAATATTGAACACTTTTTCTTGCATGATTTTTTTTTCTGAACAGCAACTTATGGCGAAATCCGGCGCTTCTCTCTTCTGGTTTCTTCTGCACTCCTTCCCCAGTTTATCTGATTATTTTTCCCTTCACGTTCTGTCCCAATAGCAAATTACCAATTCCATGAATTGCAAAGCAGCTGCAGAGAGGCTGAAGGCTACAGAGGGGGAGATGGGAAGATTGAAAGGGATCTTTGCAAACACAATCACGTTCTTAAATGGAAATTCGGGGCTTTAAACAAATCTTACATCTCTCCCTTTCCAGTCGTCTAAAACTCCGCAATCAGACACACATTCCAACCGTTACATAAAACCGCAGCGTTTTACTATCGTTAAAACGTCACCTTAATCTGATCGTTTATTTTAATATACTTTGTATTCGTATATTCTTCTTAATCTTATACCTTGGAGTTCATTTTTATTTTTCATAGGTTTTAAAAGAAGCCAATGACGTATCCCAGAAACCACAAATACCCGAAGGCAGCCGAACGGTAAGCGTCCTTCTTTTATGTGTAATCAGCATCCCTTTGGTTAACTCGTCTATGAGACTGAGTTGCGGGGAGTGTGTTAGACTGGATGTTCTTGGGGGTCACAGGTGCTCGTCACAGTCTCAAGAAAGGCGTGGTTTTGTTGAACCTACATTATATATTTATTTAAAGATATATAAATAAGCCGTTAGTGATGTTTTATGAATTCGTAAATAACAAAAAAAAAGGCAGCTCGAATATGTGCCGTAGCGAGGCTGCCCGTAGACTTTATTAATAAGCAAACTTTGTGTCCTTCGTGTTTAACTGAGGCTATTTGAAAATGTACTGCGTTCGACCTCTCTTTATTTCTATATGAATATCACTTGTTGTCGTCTTATGTATTTATTCAAAGTAAATTGTAAAAATGTGATTTTTAAAAAGAAATCAGACATAAGGTATGGAAATACATAACCCGTCGAATGAAAAACTTATTGTCGATCATCGGGAGTAAACTGTTAACTGTTGGGAGGGTTAAATAAATCTATTTTAATGTAAGCACGCGACCGCCGCCCAGCCCTCTCAAAAAAAATAAAATATAAAAAAAATCACTCGGATATAGAGTCGCACGAACGCAGGCGCGCACACCCTTAAAGACACAAACGCGCAGGAACTGTTAATAGGGTTCATATGTACTTCTCAGTCCTGCGCTTTTGTTCACTGGAAGCAAAGAAAATGAGTGGGAAAAACAGTCAGTAGCAGGTTATTCACAATTTACCCCTGTTTGTCTTTTTATTTGTCTCCTGTAAGACCGCAGATGTTGAACATTAAATCAGCATTTTCGTTCAGAATCAGACATGCAGTTATTAAGCATGATCAAACGCTGGTCTCCCTTTATTCCTCGGGGGAGCAGGGTCGTGTTGTTGGGGTTACGTCGGACACGACTTCCTTTGGCACGTGTGTGTGTGTGTGTGTGTGTGTGTATGTGTGTCCCGTGATATAAATAACGCGACGCACTGGGAATTCAAAAGAAAAACACGATTGGAAAACGCACTAAAATCATAGTCTTATTTACCTCGCAGGTTAATATGATACTAAGCGGGGCTTTAATTCAGTTACACTTTTGTTTATTTATATATATATATAAATATATATAAATATATATTAATGCGCCACCATAAGACCATATGCATAAACGTCAAGTAAACGACACGACTCAAGTGAATTAGAAGTTTATCTAAGAGGAAAATGGATCTTTAAAATCTGCAGTCTTAAAGTATAGAAACTCAGTTCGTATTATTTCATTACTCTACGACTCCCACCCTGCTGCACTTTTAGCAGTTAAACCGCAAACTTTACTAGATGGCGTCTGTGTTCTAGGCTTTTGTGTCATCTGTCTTGCACCAAGAGACCGGTCTTCCGCGAGTCAGTAAATTAAAATGCGTAAGTATTAAGTATTACTGTTTTTTTGTGTCTATAAAAAGACTGGTCATTTTCGCATTAGGGAGTGAACTGGGCGGCTCGAAACAAATGCGCTGTTGTACTGTGAAGCCAGCAAAGAGTGCTGGTTAAAAGAAGCACCAGATGCTCGGCTCGCTTTTTGTGGAGAATATGGCCTTGTCTGAACGAGGTGAATTTTTGCAAGGATGTAGAAGGTTGCTATGGAGAGCGGATTGAAAGGGGTCACAGATCTTACGGCAGAAACATAGTCCGTCGAGGAACCCACAAATAAAAGACCCGTTTTAAGATATAAAGGGGAAAAAAACCAACGTCGAATACAATCAAAGTGTTTCATCGCTTGATGTGAGTGATATGGTGACACACAATAAATTATAACTGTCCGCTTTCAGAGACTGAGTACTTCAGTAAAAGTCCTTCGGCCTCATCCACTCTACTTTTAGTGCACAGTCCCGGTTTCCATATTTGTCCTATAATAAATCCTCCCTATATATATATCGGCTCTTAAAAACCAACCTTCATATTTTGACGGTAAATTGGTAACCCTCTTTTTTTGCAGACATTTGTAATAAGCGTCGTCAAAAGAAAATCAACATGAAATATTGCACGTGAAACATTAGAAGGTCTGTGTAATCTAAAACTGAAGTTTTCTTTTGCTTTATTCGGGTTTATCTGCGGCATGGCACATTTTAACGTGCCTCGGCATTGCAGACAGCGCCTGAGTCCAATCTGAGCGTGCTTATGTACCCGTCGGAAGTTCGGAGCTCGTGCCCAGTTCCCTTTCCTACTCACGACCAACGCCTGGAGCCCCGTGCCTGTCACGTGTTAATACCTCACCGGGGACGTCCTCCACGGTTAACATGCCTCAATGCAATTAATGCACAAGTGCCTCTCTGCTGATCCGAATGCCTTCGTTTTACGTTCTACCTTTTATTATTATTATTATCATCATCATTATTATTCCTGATAAATGTAAAGAAAAAACAAATATTAAATCAAGAGTGCGTACGAGGATAAGAAATGCTATTTTTATAACGATCAGTTTTACTGCTGTATCAAGTCAAATACCAATAATGAAATGCAAGACTCACGCTTTAATCGATAGTTTAATCTTTTTAGAGAAATATGTAATATACGTTCTCTTGATTGCATTTCGAAATTAACGTTAAGTCTATGACATAAGTAATTCTGTTCCCGCCATCACTTTACTCAGGTATTGTTAACTGACACAAAAACGCACTTTTTAACCTCTGGGGGAAGAAAACCTGTCCAAAATTTTCGGTCTATTTAAAAATAAAACGGTTTGTTTTTTTTGTAGTCGAAACATTAATTAAAGCACCAAGATTCTACAGATAACTTTACAAAGTGATTGTATTGAACGCGAATATAAAATAAAGTCTTTTTACGAAGTATCCTTATCGATTGAACTTAGAGAAAATTATGCGAGTCCGACGGGGGAGGCGTCCTGTCAGTAATAAGTGTTTAATTTACTCTGACAGGTGTAGTAATTGTAATGGAACACGTTATGTGGTTAAGTGTTTATCAACCTGCGTATCCTAATGCGATAAACCCATGTATAATCGTTTTACCTTTATAAATGATACAATTTAAAAGAAATGAGTAAATAAAACTTTAGGCCTATATCCATGAATTTAAATGTTTCGCTTTTCATAATAAAATCGGACACGATTTTTTTACTGTTGTAATTATCGAAAGATTTTTTTCTTCATAATTAATAATTCTATTAATCATGTTTATTTGAGAAGTTAACCCGAGCGAAGCGTGTGACACTTTCCGGTTCAGAAAGTGTCACACAGGACGGTTTTAAGCTCTCTGCTTCTCTTAGTTGTCGCAGACTCGTCTGCAGACGCGTCCCAGTTCTCGCTTCGCATGCTGAAATAGACAAGCCGCCCAGGTGACGTCACTTTGCGGAGTTAATTAGCCGCGACAGTGAGCT